TATATATATATATCTCATAATAAACGTTTCCATAATTGCGTAAATTATAAACATTTGCATTATCATTATTATTATTAGATCAATCAATTTCTTTTGCACATTTTATGATATTTATCTTAAGAAAACTATTCTTAAATAGATGACTGGACGAATATATCTACTGTGTTGTAACCTTGTTGTTGCGTAGTAACTTCAATCTTTCGATGCGCATAAAATATTATAACTGTTTATAAAATTGTTTCTTAGGAGTCATTCGATGTGATAGCGTTTATTAGAAGTTATAAATAATAAGTCAAATCTTATCTCACATTTAATCAAACATAAATTACAAACAATTATACCCAAAGTTTAACTAAAAGGATTTGCACCAAAACGAATCAATTTATTATTTATAGTTTATAATACATTTATATTTATAATACAATTCATGATTCATTATCTCTCAATTATTTTTTACTAGTTCTTAACAGCTTTGTTATTATTTCTGATGTCATTCACTGATTCTTACTGACGATGTTATTATTTCTTAACTACTGACTGTGTTTACTGATTTTTATTAACTTCGGGGCGATTAAATAAGTACAAAAATTATCACAATGTTATGGCTTATTTCGAGCTATAATTAAATTAACTTTAAATTAATATAATTAACAAACGTTTCGGCTTACAAAGTCTTCTTCAGTGCTACAGCGTAGAGATAAATACAATCTTAAATTAAGGAATAAAAAATAACGGATACAATGAAAATTTAAAAACCATCAATGATGAAGTCAAAATATAAAAAGATATAAAAAAATGCGAACGTCAATATGTACCTCGCCAGATGACAATAAACTAGGAACATTTGGATCAACAATATCATACTGTTGATTTCAATCAACAGTAGATTAATTATGTTTATTGAACTAGATTTGCCAAATTCCTCGGTTGAGATCGAGAATCTAGTTTATCACAGACTTGTATCAAACGATTTGAGAATTCTTTAATTACGAGTATTTTATGATATTCTGTAGAACAAATAGATATATTAAGATAATATATTATTAGTGTGAAAAAGAGGTACAGAATCAAATAATTTATGGTAATTTATGTAAAATACTGTAATCTAAACTTTCAATCAAAGATCCGGATAAGCATTATAAAGATACTGACTGTTATTCGTTTGAAAATTAATTAATGTGAAGTGTAGATCAAATAAAAAATAAATCAATAAAAATCGAACATAAAAACAAGTCTGTTCAAAAATGGTCTGTGATAATTTAATGTTCTCATATATCGTCAAATATGTTAAAATAAGAGTTATTCAATAAATTTCATTAAAGTTAAACCGTTTTTTTGTTGTTTAATATGTCATTTCAGAAATATATATTTCTTTTATGATAATTCTTTTCAAAATCAGGAATACTAATTTTTTCGCAATCAAAGTCATGATTAGTTTCTGTGATATGTTTCGAGATTGCTGAATATTTGGACTGGTCTAATTTTATATTATTGCGATGTTTTTTAATTCTTGTTTGCAATTGTTTCTTCGTTTGGCCAACATACGATGCATTGCAGTTATTACAATTTACTTTATATATGATATTATTACTATTATCATGTTAATTTTTGTCCTTATGAACTTTAATAAATTTATTAAGCTCGTTTAAGCACCTATAGCCAATCATGTTTTTGGATTTATTAATAAATTTAGTAATTTTATTAGAAATAGATCTTATATATGGAAAAACTATTATCTCTCTCAAAACTCCATCAATGTCAATGTTATTTGAGCTAGTGTTATTAACCATAAATAACCGTAAATTTTTTACAAGCCAAATTTTTGATCTTTTTGTTAATAAATAAAAATTGTTAATAAATAAAAAATCATTCCTAAAGGATAATCGTTATTCTTCAAATTCTTTATTATAAATATAATTCTATGTTCTTATTATAGAATATAAAATTTGATAATAAGATCTTTCTATCAACTAAGCTATATATGGTCTCTATCTTGACATGCGGAATGGTTCGAATAGAACGATAAATACTTGCCTGAGAATGTCTTTTTATGGTACCAGTCTAAAATAATAGTATTGTCTTTATTGATGACCGATAAATCCAAAAAATTCAGACAATGGTTTTCTTCATATTCAATAGTGAATTTAAATCTATCATGCTGTTCATTAAATGAATTCAAAATTTAAGTGATTTTATCTTTAGGTGCAATCATAAAGATATCATCAACATATCTAAAATTGCATATGCCATTGTAAAGAAACCCGAAATTGTAAAGAATTTAACACTTTCTCTTTTAAATCCTCCATAGAGACATAGAGAAAATGATAGAGAAAAGGGGGGAACTCATAGGTGTGCCAAAAATTTGTTTGTAAATAATCCCATTAAAAGTAAAATATTTTATTGCGAAAAAGTTAGTATTCCTAATTTTGAAAAGAATTATCGTAAAAGAAATATTTCTGAAATGATACATATTAAAGAACAAAAAAACGGTTTATGTTTAATGAAAGACTGAGTTATTGGATAATTCTTATTTTAATATATTTGACGATATACGAGAATTTAAATAGTCACAGTTTTTGAACAGACTTGTTTTTATATTCGATTTTATTGACTTACTTTTATTTGACCTATACTTCATATCAATTTTTCATATTAATTTTCAAATGAGCAAGAATCAGTATCTTTATTGTACTTAATCGGATCTTTGATTGAGAGTTTACATTAGTTTTATATAAAATATCGTAAATTATTATTTGATTCTGTACCTCTTTTTCACACTAATAATATATATTATCTTAATAAATCTATTCGTTCTACAGAATATCATAAAATATATCATAAAATATAATACTTGTAATTAAAGAATTTTCAAATTGTTTGATACAAGTTTATGACAAACTGGATTCTCAGTCTCAACCGAGGAATTTGGCAAATCTATTTTATCAATAAACATAATTAATCTACTGTTGATTGAAGTATCCAAATGTTCCTAACTTATTGTCATCTGGCGGGATATGTATTGACATTTGAATTTTTTTATATCTTTTTATATTTTGATACTTTATCATTGATGATTTTTAAATTTTCATTGTATCCGTTATTTTTTATTCGTTAATTTAAGATTGTATGTCTCTGCGTTGTAGCACTGAAGAAGGCTTTGTAAGCCGAAACATTTATTATATTAATTTATTATATTAATTACATTAATTTAAAGTTAATTTAATTATAGCTCGAAATAAGCCATGATATTGTTGTTAATTTTTAAGATAATATACGAGCATTTTTTACTCCATTTTAAATAAGTATAGGTAGTTGTTTTTATTGACAAATTCGAAAAAGCTCTAAACCGTCAATCAATTCATATATGAAGCTTAGCTGATTGAAAGTTAAATACACCTGATCAAAAATTAATCAGCGAGAACAAATTCTTACATTTTAATAATTTCGAAAATGATATAATTTTCAATGAGAAATGACTATCAATTAGATATTGAATCGATATCAAAATCATTCGTATCGATGTTAACTTGCTAATAATTTGTTAAGTTTTTCACTAGTTGTTATATGGCTTCAAATGTCTTTAAATGATTATAACTACCGAGTTAATAATAATTTTTAATATTAGCTATATTATTTAACATATACTTTCTATATATCATTTATTTTAATTACTCTTCCGTTCTCTTTATATTTTTTAATATTAAACAAAGCATACAAATATTAAAAAAAAGTAATTTTGTAACTGTCATAGCAGAAACACATTTTTTTAAAATTATTTAAATCTAAATATTACATATTTCTATCAATTACTACAATAAAACAATTTTTTATTTGATAATCACTTAATAATAATCTATATTTATATCTTATATTCTGAAGTAATAAGAGTTATATTTTCATAAATTAAAGTTATTATAAAAGAATTATGTAACTAATTATCGTATATACTTAGTTTCTTAGTCATTTCTCTTAAATCTTTTTTTGAAATTTTCCCAGAACCTGTGTATGGAAAATTATCCAGAAATATAACTCCTGCACGTAGTTTACATCGATCTTCCATGTTCTCCGCCACAAAATCTATCAATTCCTGTTCTGTCACCTATAGAAAAGAAAATGAAAAAGATTAATTCAACACATAAAATATTTCCTATTTTGTATTAAAAAAATATGTAAACATAACATAATATGTAAACATAACAATAGTCTTGCCTGCTATTTCTTCCTTCGCGATTCATTTGTTCTTATCAAATCTTTATTTCTTTAACTTTTAACTTTTAAACTGATTTATTCATTGCACTCTATTTTTGATCGAGTTAATATGCAAATTTTTTAATTTGTTTTTTAATTATTTTAATCAAGATCCTTATTTCTATAAGTGTAATTCTCTTTCTGGTAGACATCTATTAGATATTTGAAGAAAATATCTGACGAAAGACTCAAACTCGACTCGCTGTTAGAAATATTCTGATTTTATTTTGTAAACCTTTATTTTATGACTTTATTATATATTTCTAACAAATGATTGTACCTCGATGCCAGGCTTCTTGCTAACATAAGCAAGAGGATGTTCATTGTCTAATGCATGGGGCACTCCTATTATTGCAGCTTCTAGCACTGCTGGATGTGATATTAAGACACCCTCGATTTCTCCGGGAGAGATTTGCTGACCTCTATATTTTATGAGTTCCTTTATTCTGTCGATAATGAACAATTCTCCATCTTCATCTATATAACCGATATCACCCGTATGCAACCATCCTATTTTTTAAATTTACTTTTATGCCACTATATTTTTATATAATTATATTTATTATTATTATATTATTATTATATTTTTGAGATCTAATGAAATATACTTGATTTAATTTTTGCAAGTATTGTAATTGTAATTAATTTTTAAAAAATATAATTATATTATTACTTATTATTACAACAAATACGATTTACCTTCTTCATCTATCGTACTTTTTGTCGCTTCAGGATTTTTATAATAACCAGTCATAATGGTTGCAGATTTTACCCATATTTCCCCCGGTTGATTTGATTCAAATATTTTCCCGTTTTCAGGATCCACGATTTTTATTTGCGTATTCTTGGCTACGACTCCATTAGATCCATTCTTATGCTGTGATTGCGGCCATGTTATAGGACCACCGGTTTCTGTCATTCCTAGAAACATAAAAAATATAATTAAAATTATATCATCTACATAATATATTAATTAATATCTTATTGCTTTTTTTGTATTTACCATAACCTTGCAATATTTGGATGCGTGGTAAAATATATTTCAATTTTTCCTGCACTTTTTTATTCATAATTGCACCACCGTATATTATAACTTTCAAAGATGATAAAGAATATTTCTTTATACAACTCGCTTTGAGAAACCGATTCAGTAAACTTGTGCTTAAAAAAAGAAATTCTACCTAGATAATAAAACAATTCATATTTTGAATTCTATTACGCATCATGTGCAAACTACTTGTAAATATAAAATTAATCATGTATCTAATTCATAATGTAAAGAAGTAGATAGATATTATTATTATAAAAAACATTATTATAATGTATTTTTTCTTAGTCGTTACAATTTGCACTTATGTTAATTGGCAAGATATATGCTATTA